TTTTTACATGTGTGCATCACTTTTGCTGGTTCGTTCGATTTTAACCAGCAAAAGTAGTGCACATGCATTTTTACATGTGTGCATCACTTTTGCTGGTTCGTTCGATTTTAACCAGCAAAAGTAGTGCACATGCATTTTTTACATTGGATTGCAAACTCGTAGTTATCGAACCCGGAATAAGAATTTTTGCATTGGTTTGACTGACTGTGCAATGATCATGTCGATCGATGTTGATGTTGTGATGAAGCGATAGTTCGGCTAGCACTGTTGTATTGATGCAGTGTATAGCAGTGTGAACATGTTATATGTATGTGTTAGAATGAAAGTTGTTCGAAGCTGCTTCGTCGATTTTCATGATCAACATATATGTTTGTTCACATGACAAACGAATTTTCATATCGCATGTAATAAAACATCACAAATGGCAATGAAGTGAATGCGGTTGAAAATGTTTCAACATATGCACGAATAACTTCGATAACACATCTTGTTGATTGACTCTTTGTGGTTGATCAGTTGATGCTTGTTTGGGCTTGAATGCTTGTAAACAAGTTGTTTAAAGAACAGGAATGTATTTATTCCATGATGTGGGTTGGTTTTGTTTCGTCTCGATGAAACAACGCAAACACATTTTATCATTACATATATACATTTGTATGTATGTATGTTAATGGTAATGCTATCAACACTGGTCATAATGAAGTGATTTCATTTGACTCTGTTGTGAAAATAAGAGATGTATATGATTATTGTTCGTCAATATCTATACATTCTCGACATAGATAACGAAGCTTTCCGATTGATCTTGTCGGTGGCTTTCCTTTATCTTGAAGATTAAGCCATGCATGTCTAAGTATGAACTGGTTTAAGGTGAAACTGCGTACGGCTCATTACATCAGCTATAACTTTCTTTGATCATAACTCCTAAATGGAATAACCGAGGAAAAGCCTGGGCTAATACATGCGAAAATTCCGGTAGCAATATCGGAATGCTTTTATTAGATCAAAACCTTCTAGTTCTTTCATCGGAACTGTTTGTTGGTGACTCTAAATAACTTTGTGTTGATCGTATGACCTTTGTGTCGACGACATATCTTTCAAGTGTCTGACTTATCAACTTTAGACGGTACATTATATGTCTACCGTGGTTGTAACGAGTACAGAGAATCAGGGTTTGGTTCTGGAGAGGCCGCCTGAGAAACGGCGACCACTTCCAAGGAAGGCAGCAGGCGCGCAAATTACCCACTCTCAAAACGAGGAGGTAGTGAAGAGAAATAACGATGTTAGTCTTTTTTAGGCTGACAATCGGAATGGAAAAACTCTAAAAAGGTTATTGATTAACAATTGGAGGGCAAGTCTGGTGCCAGCAGCCGCGGTAATTCCAGCTCCAATAAGGAAAACTAAAGTTGCTGTGTTTAAAAAGCTCGTAGTTGAATTTCGGGTATTTGTTGCTAGTTGGTCTTTTCGGCCATATTGGTTAACAGATCCTCACTTGCTGGACGGCTGGCGATGATCTTTATCGGTTGTCGTCAGTTGCCAGAACGTTTACTTTGAGAAAATTAGAGTGCTAAAAGCAGGCTCACGCCTATATATATTGCATGGAATAATGAAATAAGATCTCGATTTTATTTCGTTGGTTTTAGAAATTGAGATAATGATTAATAGGATCAGAGGGGGGCGTACGTACTGTGGTGTGAGAGGTGAAATTCTTGGATCGCCAC